GGCGGCTTGTTTTACAACGTCGTTGCCAAGCGACGAAAACCCAACCCCGATGGCAAACACCGGGGGGGGGGGAACCCAATCCCGATGGCACACACCACCGAGGGGGGGGCGGGGGGGCGCATGGCCTCTTGTTTTCAGGGGGGGTTCGGGTACGGATTGGGGGTCGGGTCTATGTGTACTGCATTCTCGAATTGTCCCCTCACTATAGCTACTGTGGATTTTCAGTACACAGCTATCCTCACTCAACGCGTCTATGTGTCGTGCAATCTCCAATACAAATCAACCTTTGAAGTTTCAGTATGCAGCTTTCTTTACTCAGTGCGTCCATGTGTCCGGCAGTCGCAAACGTCACTCAACCCGTTAGGTCCCAATATGCAGCTATCCTTACTTAAAGCGTCTATGTGTCTGGCACTATCCAACATCACTCAACTCTTGAGGTTTCAGTATGTACCTATCCCCACGCAGCGCGTCTATGTGTCTGGCAAACTNTGCGTCTATGTGTCCGGCACTCCAACTTCACTCAACCCATGGGATTTCATTATGTAGCTATCCCCACTCAGTGCGTCTTGTGTCTGGCAAACACAAGAATCATTCCATCTGTGAGGTTTCAGTATGCAGCTATCTCCACTCAGCACGTCCATGTGTCCGGCAATCTCCAACACAAACCACCTGTGAGGTTTCAGTATGCAGCTATCCCCACTCAAAGCGTCTATGTGTCTGGCAAACTCAAAAACCAATGCATCTGTGAGCTTTCAGTATGAAGCTATCCTCACTCAACACGTCTACGTGTCCGGTACTCTCCAATGCAAATCACCTGTGAGGTTTCAGTATGTGTCTTTCCTCACTCAATGCGTCTATGTGTCCGGCACTCCAACTTCACTCAACCCATGGGATTTCATTATGTAGCTATCCCCACTCAGTGCGTCTTGTGTCTGGCAAACACAAGAATCATTCCATCTGTGAGGTTTCAGTATGCAGCTATCTCCACTCAGCACGTCCATGTGTCCGGCAATCTCCAACACAAACCACCTGTGAGGTTTCAGTATGCAGCTATCCCCACTCAAAGCGTCTATGTGTCTGGCAAACTCAAAAACCAACGTATCTGTGAGGTTTCAGTATGAAGCTATCCTCACTCAACACGTCTATGTGTCCGGCAATCTCTAACACAAATCACCTGTGAGGTTCAGTATGTGTCTATCCTCACTCAACGGCTCTATGTGTCCGGCACTCCAACTTCACTCAACCCATGGGATTTCATTATGTAGCTATCCCCACTCAACCCGTCCATGTGTCTGGCAATCTTAAACCTCACTCAGCCCTTGAGGTTTCAGTATACAGCTATCCTCACTCCACTCGTCCATGCGTCACGCGTCTTTGGTACCGCATACTATGGGGGCTATATTTGGGGTGGTGTGTTTTACATTCCCCAGCGGTTGGTGAAAAACGGTGTCCACCCTCCGTTCTAGCTTAGGTGGGTTGGCGCTGTTGGCAAAGCGCTGTAAAACGGAATGCCCAGGTGATACATACAATACACAGATGAGCGCTTGGCGACTAGTGCAACGCGTGGAAAGGTGTTTCTCACTTGAGCTGGGCGATGGCGACTCCTGGCGTGGCGTTGAACACGAAAGAACGAGAGCAGTGCAGGACGCATACAACGAGAGGCCCGAAAGATTGTACAGGTGGTCAGTTCGAACCCTCGACTGTTCAACATTTTTGTCAGTCGCTGAGTGACCTAGGCGACCGCCCGCAACGTATGAAGACATGAAGCAGGCGACCCATCGGTTTTATTCTCCTGGTGCTCTCGGAGCAAGCGCTAGGTTTTATACCTCTGGACTCGTGCGGATAATGCCGTTCGGCCCTTCGATGGAGACATCCCTGATCTCGACTTCGCCGTCGCCAACTTGTTCCTCTTTATGGTACAGCCCTAGCTTCATTCTGGCCATTTTCCCCTTGTTGTTCCAGGCGACAGGAGTCTTATCCTTAGGCCAGACGAACTTCCCGCTCACGCCCCCTGCGAATTCCACCTGGCATATACAACAGAAATCCAGAATATCCTTAGATAACAACATATTCGCACGATTGAGAGCGAAGTATCTGATTGAGAGCGAGATCGTGCGATACGATGTAGCTTGTCTACTGCTGAGAGGTAGAGCTTGCTGTGCGACTTGAATGGAAGGGCTTGCCCATAGCTACAAGCCGATACCCTGTTCATCCCTGCGAGAGTCACGCGTTGTGGAGCTACACCGCGGAGCAGAAGCTACGGGAGAGCCTTCCGCGCCGGGCGACAGCGCCCTCAAACAGTTTGGGGCAGGAATAGCCAATCTGGGGAAATCTAGCAACGTGCGTAGCTCCTCGCTCCTGCAGCCGATCGCAGTGA